CTGAACTAGAACTGAACTAGAACTGAACTAGAACTGAACTAGAACTGAACTAGAACTGAACTAGAACTGAACTAGAACTGAACTAGAACTGAACTAGACTGAACTAGAACTGAACTAGAACTGAACTAGAACTGAACTAGAACTGAACTAGAACTGAACTAGAACTGAACTAGAACTGAACTAGAACTGAACTAGAACTGAACTAGAACTGAACTAGAACTGACTAGAACTGAACTAGAACTGAACTAGAACTGAACTAGAACTGAACTAGAACTGAACTAGAACTGAACTAGAACTGAACTAGAACTGAACTAGAACTGAACTAGAACTGAACTAGAACTGAACTAGAACTGAACTAGAACTGAACTAGAACTGAACTAGAACTGAACTAGAACTGAACTAGAACTGAACTAGAACTGAACTAGAACTGAACTAGAACTGAACTGAACTGAACTGACTGAACTGAACTAGAACTGAACTAGAACTGAACTAGAACTGAACTAGAACTGAACTAGAACTGAACTGGAACTGAACTAGAACTGAACTAGAACTGAACTAGAACTGAACTAGAACTGAACTAGAACTGAACTAGAACTGAACTAGAACTGAACTAGAACTGAACTAGAACTGAACTAGAACTGAACTAGAACTGAACTAGAACTGAACTAGAACTGAACTAGAACTGAACTAAACTAGAACTGAACTAGAACTGAACTAGAACTGAACTAGAACTGAAACTAGAACTAGAACTGAACTAGAACTGAACTAGAACTGAACTAGAACTGAACTAGAACTGAACTAGAACTGAACTAGAACTGAACTAGAACTGAACTAGAACTGAACTAGAACTGAACTAGAACTGAACTAAACTGAACTAAACTGAACTAGAACTGAACTAGAACTGAACTAGAACTAGAACTAGAACTGAACTGAACTGAACTGAACTGAACTGAACTAGAACTAGAACTGAACTGAACTAGAACTGAACTAGAACTGAACTAGAACTGAACTAGAACTGAACTGGAACTGAACTAGAACTGAACTAGAACAGAACTAGAACTGAACTAGAACTGAACTAGAACTGAACTAGAACTGAACTAGAACTGAACTAGAACTGAACTAGAACTGAACTAGAACTGAACTAGAACTGAACTAGAACTGAACTAGAACTGAACTAGAACTGAACTAGAACTGAACTAGAACTGAACTAGAACTGAACTAGAACTGAACTAGAACTGAACTAGAACTGAACTAGAACTGAACTAGAACTGAACTAGAACTGAACTAGAACTGAACTTGATCTGAACTAGAACTGAACTAGAACTGAACTAGAACTGAACTAGAACTAAACTAGAACTGAACTAGAAGTAGAACTGAACTAGCGATTGATAAAAATCCGAATCGATCAAGTAATCAGGCATTTGGCGAAACTACTGATACTTTGTCTTCCCATAAAATTGCTGGGCACTGGTACTTTTCATTACATACTTATGTACACGAGTTTTCACAAAATGTTTAACAATTCCCTCTCAATTCTTAAAGAGATTTTTCCAATTTATTATGAAACTACAATAGATGAATGAGAAAATTGGGGGAAGTACGAGGTAAAGACCTTAGAATAACAGAGTTTAGAATGAAAGAGTATTAACGGGAATTATGGTATAAAGAACGAACAGGTATAGAAACGATTTAGATTGTTGTTGTTTTTGTATAATCTTTCTCTACCCTCTATCGACTATAAACAACACTTAGACACGCAATTTTTAGGTTACGACTCTTTTATGTACCGAAAAAAACCGCATACAAATTGCTAAATCTTTTGGTAAATGTTTGTGCTGCAGGAATTTGTCTGCCAAAAGGCAGGGAGGGATTGGTTGGGCGTAATAGGGGGCTGGAACGAAAGCTGTTAGTGGTATTTGTAGGAGGCTTAAGTAAAAGTCTGGTGCTTAGTGTAAGATGTATATTGGGCCGTGTAAAGCACGTACAAACATAGTTCGACAGGTGGTAACTTAAAACCCAATTGGAAATGAAGAGCAAATACAAGAGTTTGATGGAAAACTGAAAACGAAATACTATTCAGGCTGAATTATTAAAAACTTCTTGGAACAATTCCATCACTTCCCTAATGGGTTTCCATGCCAAAATACCAATTAGCGGGGGAAAGAAAAACTTCAAACGTGTCGGAAACATGTTTATACGTTTACATCTTTTTTCCTATTTTTCTGCTCATCATTTTAGTGTTTCTTTGATTTGTTATTTGGATTTTTGAGCTCGTCATGTATTTGTGAAAAACTCATCAAATTTCATGATTTTTCCACGTGCTAAATCATGTTGTTTTTACTTATGCCACCAACAGCAGCAGCAATATTCGACTTTGTGGCCACAAAAAATATATATATCTTTAACGGTTTGCTTTGTAATTCTTGGAAGGCAAATAAAACTTTGATTTGAAGTTTGAAGCGGAAATGTAGATTTAAAGTTTAAAAGAATATGAAGTTGTTAAAAGTTAATATCTTTATTGTAAGTTTTTCTAATGAAAATTGATGGATATAAAAAAGCTTTAAACGAATTAAGGGAAAAAAAGTATTTGATTAATTTAATTGTTTTCCTAAATATTTTTTCTTGAAAAAGCTTTCTTACAAGAAGTGTTTTTAAACTTTTTTTAAACAATTTTCACTAAAAAAAAGCAAAAAAATTGTTACAAAAAAATGTATAAATATTTTTACCAAAAAAAAAAATATATATATATAAATATAAAGCCTTTTAAAACTTTTAGAGTTTATTTACAAAAAAGCTTTTTAAAACTTTTTAAAATTTATTTACAAAAAAATCTTTATAAATATTTTTGCAACGAAAGCTTTTCAAAACTTTTTAAGTATTTTTACGAAAAAGCTTTGTAAATATTTTTACAAAAAAGCTTTTTAAAAATCCTTATAAATAAAAACTTTATAAAGATTTAAGGTTTTAAAAACTTTTTAAAGTTTTTTTAAATGTTTTACAAAAAGCTTTTAAAACATTTTTAAATAAAAAGCCGTTTAAACTTTTTTGAATAGAAAGCTTTTAAACCTTTTTACAGAAAGCTTTTTAGAACTTTATAAAGCTTTTATTTCAACTTTTCTTACATTTTCACAAAAAAGCAAAAATCATTTTAATCTTTTTTTCTTAAATTTGTTAAAGCTTTTCGCAAGAAAAGTTTAAATCTTTAAAAACTTTTTTATTTTTTTTTTTTTTGTTTTTAAATAAAAGCGTTTCAATTTTTTTTAGCTCTTTCTAAAAAAAAAAATCAATAATGTTTAAAAAAATATAAAAAGCTTTATAATAGTTTAAGAAAATGTTAAAGCTTTTTTCTAATTTTTTTTTCACTTTTTGTTTAAAAAAAATATTTTTCAATAAGATTAAAGAGAGTTACTAAAATCACTTTTACACAACGAACATTTTTCACAAAATTTCTTTAAACAAAATTTAAAAAGAAAAGTTTAAAAAAAGCTTTTCTACAAAAATAATATTTTGTATCACTACAAATGATTTTAAAAGATTTATTACTTAAGGTTTTTTGCCAAAAATTGTGTTGATATTTTTAAAAGCTTCTTATTTTCACGTAGATTTCTTCCACAAGTAAGAAAGCTTTTTTTGAGACTTTTTCACATTTTTTTAGAAAGTTGTTAACAAAGATATTTGCACTTAATGAAAGCTTTTCAAGTTGAAGCTATTGCAAAAAAAGTTGTAAAGAGATGTTTGTTTCAAAAAGCTTTCTCACAAACAATTTTTGCATAAAAAAATAAGCTTTTTTTAAATATGTAATACTTTTTAGCATTTTCAAATATTTTCACTAAAAAAAGCTTTGAAAAAACTTAAATTTGTTAAAAAAAAAAAAAAAAAAAAACGTAAATAGCTTTCACTTAAACCTTAAAAAAGATTTTTGTTTAAAAAAGCTTTCTCACAAACAAGCTTACTGGCAAGAGTAAATACAATGTTTACAAAACTATTTCACTATTTTCCAAAATTTTTTTTTAAATTTTATGTTAAAAAGCTTTAGTAAATATATTTTTCCTACAAAAGCTTTAAAAAATTAAAAGCTTTTGCTTAAAAAACGAGTTTTTAACAAATTGTTTTTACTCTTTCACTTTTTTGATATTTTCCAAAAAAAGCTTTTCTACACAAACTAGTTTTTTTTATAAAAAAAAAGCTTTTTACAAGAAAAAATATAATTTTTATAAAAAATGATGACCGTTTACTCGCAAAAACTTTATTTTAATTTGTTTTTATGAAAATAATCTTTTTGAAACGAAGACAAAGTGATACTTTAGAAAAAGAAGCTTTTGTTTTTAATTTTAAAGAACACAATTTTTACTACAAAAAAGTTTGCATTATTGGAAAAATCGTTTAATCAGAGTCAAATGTAAGCTTTTTTTCAATGTTTTCATTGAAGTTTTAAATATACTTAAAGGTTATTTCCTGGACTTATTTTTGGAAAGAATTTCTTAAATATCACAAAAACAGATTACCCTAAAGCTTTTGCTTAGTACTGAGTAAAACCGAAGGTATTACTTATTGGTTGTTTTTGGCAAATCCACCATAATCCATCCACAAATTTGTTAATGAGTTCTACTAAGTATATACTTTGTCCAACATAGATTTTGGAAGCGATATGGTCCTTTCCAAAAAACTATTCTCCAATCCAAGGGTATTACAAAGAACATCAGTGGAAGAAGAGTTCTACTAGCAGGCGTTAAAGTTGAAATTCTCCCGAAATGTTTTTTCAAAGACTGTGGTATACTTAGCCCTGAGTCGGAGTTGGGCTTTAACTCCGTATTTTACAAGAGCTTACCAAAAGCTTAGAGTTACTTTGTAATAATTTTGTTAAAATATTAAAGTTGTTCGACAGCCCCACTGTTACGTTTAAAGGTTAAAGAGATAAATACTTTGGTTCTTTCTAGCTGCTACTTATTACACATCTTAACGGACTTAATTCCCTCGACTTTTACTCCTTTTCGCACTCTTCACTGCAAACTGATGTCGGTGGAGTATGATGTAGAGACCATACTGCTGTTGCTGCCGGGTGAGTATAAACTATTATAACTTATATCCGAGGTATCCGAACCCAACATATCCATTAGAGCAACAATATATGTTTGAGCCATTTGTAGAGTTTCAAATTTAGAAAGCTTCTGCTCTAGCGAGGGAGCGGGTACAACTTCTCTTAAACGATCGAAAGCTTCATTTAAACCATTCATACGTTTACGTTCACGAGCATTGGCTGCCTGTCTTCGCTTTTTTAAAACCGTGGGACTGGGTGGATTAGTGGGATTTTGAGTTTGTATTTTCTTGCCACTTGAAGTGGATTTTTTCGGTTTTTTGGACGATTTTGTTGCAATATTTTTGATTAAGCTAGAATCTGTGATTTCGTTTAAAGAGTTGTTATTTGAATTATAATTTTGTGGATAATAATCTGGTGTATTAGTGGGTGTTATGGCAGGAGTTAAAGGCCATGAATCCATGTAGCTAATATTGGGCGTATAGTTGGCTGCTGCAGGATAATTGGGACTACCCAAGTACTGGGAACTATCATCTTCAGCTGAAGAGGCATAATTGAAATCCGTTAAAGTACTAGAACTGGCTATATATTTATTAAACACCGTATAATTTTCACTTAGATTCATGATTGTTTGTTATTTTTTAAATTTTTTTTAATTTTCTTTTTCGAACGATCTTAACAATTCAAAGGTCTAGTTGTAACTAATCATTTCTTCTAAAAATTTCTTTCTTAACTTTCAACTTCAACTATCATTTCAAATCGTAATTCATTTTCATACTTTAATTCCTTTACACTAAAAAGTAACAACAACTTATATAAAAAGCGTCAGTTGTTCAAAATTTTTTTTACAATTAGACCAACTGTTCTTGTCTGTTCTAAACATGACCATGTGTTGCCAACATTGACTCGTGATCAGCACGAGTTTTAAGTCGACATCAGTTCAGTGTCTTCTTCTTCTACTTCTTCATTAATTTGTTTAAACTGTAATCTATTGCTATTATCAAAAACCCTTAACATTCGTTCATATACATTCATATCATCCCTCTTAGGCTCGTGCTACTCTTTTAACTTGCAAGACTAGAACAAATATTTTTACCACAATATATGTTTTTAAAATTACCACTTTTTTTTCCGTATGATTGTTGTTGCCAAAAGTCCTTTTTTTTATTTAAAATAAAGTGCATAAATTAAATAAAAAATAATCATCATCATTAACATATCAAGTCATTTAAAAGAAGAGTCCTTTTCGTGTTGGCGAGGGTGTTGCTATTTTCAGAGGGTTGTTTTTTTTTTCTTAATTTTGTTGTCTTAGGGTGAATTATGGTAAAATAGGTTCTTTACAACAATAACACTAAATAAGAACGGTTTTAGTTCTTACAGTTATTGCCCTAGGTTGGGGTGTCTGGTCATGTTAGCAAAAAAGTTTTACCAGTGTCAATGTTCGATAAGAAGTGTCAAAATGTGCACTAAGAAAAATTATGAAAAAAATTCTGTAAAATCGGAAAGACACAGTAAAGCTCTAACATTAGATCTTATAAACCAACCAACCAGAAACAAATTTAAACGTTCATAAAGAAAATCCTTTCGAACTTGTAATATGGGTTTCTACCGCAAAGCTAAGTTTTTTTCTCAGTGTCTTCAACATACACCCTAACAAATACAAAATTATCAATTAACTTAAAATGTATTACTCTATGTACAGAATTAAGTATTTCATAACATTTTTATTGTAAGGACTCATTGCCAAATTACCGCTATCATTTATACTGATCAACATTTAACTACGCTAACAGAAATAACAGAAAAAACAACAACAACAAAAATATAATAATACTCAAGTCAACATCAATGTCATCATCGTACATAAAAAATAATTTGTGACTTTCACGGTTAACAGAACATATACCCAACAAAGTGAGAAAGTATAGGTAACACAGATCATTAAATACCCTAAAATGAACTTACGAAAGGAAACCTGAACAATAGTTTAGTATAAAGCTTGGACTATAGTATAGTCTATAGCCTCGACTATAGTCTATTCCTTAATCTAGTATATACTCTGGAGTACAGTTAAGTCAATGGTCTGGACTATAGTATATGTCCTTGTTCAGTCTAAGCTATATACCATAGTCCATAATCCTTGTCTGGACTATAGTCCAGTCTAATGTCTGGTCTATAGTCGAGCCTATAGTCTGGACTATAGTCTATAGTCTGTACTATAACCTAGTTTATAGTCTGAACTATAGTCTAGTCTATAGTCTGGTCAATAGTCGAGTCTATAGTTTGGACTTTAATCTAGTATATAGTCTGAACTATAGCCTATACTATAGTCCAGACTATAGTCCAGTTAATAGTCTAGACTATAGTCCAGTCTACAGTCTAGACTATAGTCTATAGTCTGGACTATAGTCTATAGTCTGGACTATAGTCTATTGTCTGGACTTTAGTCTAGTTTATAGTCTGGACTTTAGTATATTCTATAGTCTGGACTATAAAATAGACTAAAGTCCAGACTATAGACTGGACTATAGTCTAGACTATTGACTGGACTATAGTCTAGACTGGACTATAGTCTAGACTGGACTATAGTATATTCTATAGTCTGGACTATAAACTAGACTAAAGTCCAAGACTATAGATTATAGTATAGACTATAGACTGGACTATAGTCTAGACTATTGACTGGACTATAGTCCAGTCTATTATTTAGACTATAGTCTAGTCTATAATCTAAACTATAGTCTGTAGCCTGGACTATAGTCTAGTCTATAGTCTGGACTTTAGTCTAGTTTATAGTCTGGACTTTAGTATATTCTATAGTCTGGACTATAAACTAGACTAAAGTCCAAACTATAGACTATAGTCCAGACTATAGACTATAGACTGGACTATAGTCTAGACTGGACTATAGTCTAGACTGGACTATAGTATATTCTATAGTCTGGACTATAAACTAGACTAAAGTCCAAGACTATAGATTATAGTATAGACTATAGACTGGACTATAGTCCAGTCTATTATTTAGACTATAGTCTAGTCTATAATCTAGAATATAGTCTAGTCTGTAGCCTGGACTATAGTCTAGTCTATAGTCTGGACTTTGGTCTAGTATGTAGTCTGGACTATAGTCTAGTCTACAGACTGTGCTATAGTCTAGTCTATAGTCTGGTGTATAGTCGAGTCTATAGCCTGAAATAAAGTTTAGTCTATAGTCCGGTCTAAAGACTAGTCTATAACCTGGACCTAAATCTATTCTATAGTCTGGACTATAGTATACCCAATGGTCTCGTCTATAGTCTATTCTATAGTCTGAACTAAAGTCTAGTCTATATTCTGGACTATAGTCTATTCTATTGTGTGGAATTTAGTCTAGTCTATAGTCTGGACTATAGTCTAGTCTATAGTCTAGTCTATAGTCTGGTCTATAGTTTAGTCTATAGTCTCGACTATTGTTTAGTCGATAGTCCGGTCTAAAGACTAGTCTATAAGCTGGACTTAAATCTAGTCTATAGTCTGGACTTTAGTATACACTATAGTCTAGTCTATAATCTGGACCATTATCTAATCTCTAGTCTGGACTATAGTCTAGTCTATAGTCTGCACTATATTCTAGTCTATAGTCTGGACTTTGTCTAGTCTATAGTCTGGACTTTGGTCTAGTCTATGGTCTGGAGTACAGTATATTCTATAGTCTGGACTAAAGTCTAGTCTATATTCTGCACTATAGTCTATTCTATTGTCTGGAATTTAGTCTAGTCTATAATCTGGACTTAAGTCTAGTCTATAGGCTGGACTATAGTCTAGTCTACAGACTGTACTATAGTCTAGTCTATAGACTGAACTATAGGCTAGTCTATAGACTGAACTATAGTATAGTCTATTGTCTGGTCTTTAGTCTAATCTATAGTCTGGACTATAGTCTAGTCTGTAGTCTGGATTATAGTCTAGTTTATAGTCTGCACTATAGTCTAGTCTATAGTCTGGACTATAATCTAGTTTTAGTCTAGTCTATAGTCTGAACTATAGTCTGGTCTATAGTCTGGACTATAGTCTAGTTTGTAGTCTAGTCTATAGTCTGAACTATAGTCTAGTTTATAGTCTAGTCTATAGTCTAGACTATAGCCTGGGCAATAGTCTAGTCCATAGTCTACACTATAGTCTAATCTACAGTCTGGGCTATAGGTTAGTCTATAGTATCTTCCATAGTGTGGATTATAGTCTAGTCTTTGAGTACACTGAAGTATAATCTAGTCCATAGTCTAGCTAAAAATCTTGACTATAGTACTCTCAAACGTAATGTCTTCGTTTTTGTTTATTAGTTATTAACATTAGGTCAAAGGCATACTGACCTACCTCCTCACTTAATTGGTGTAGGGCATAAAAAACTACAAAACCCAAAACCATTTCAAATGTTTCGCATAATACTCGTATTAAACCAATTTTAATAACAACTATAAAAAGAAAAACACCAAGCGGACAAACAGAAGAATACACAGGATAAATTGTTAAATTAAACCCCTAAAAATATATCTGTTTATAAAAACATTTTTATTTTCATAACATTCCATTGTTTCCTCTTTTTTTGTTTTACATTTAATGTTAAACCAAAATTCAACACAAAACTGACCGACCATATGTTGCAAAGAGCTAAAGAAGAAAAAGAATTTAACGAGTATAAACCACTAAAAAAAGGACATATGTTGTAGCTACATACACTGCCACTCTAAGGTGTATAGACCATGTTAAACGAATAAAAAATTGTTAACATTACAAACAAACACTAGTAGTTGTAGTTGTTGTTGTATCTAGGTCGCATACACTTTCAGTAGTTTTAAACAAACAGTGTTCTTTTGAACACATACCAGAAATAACTTAAATGCAAGCAAACCCAAACCAGACCAAATCGAGCCAAACCAAACCATTAAAACTGAAACAAAAAAAAAAACAGGACATAAAAATGAACACACACGCAAGGACAGACATACCGACCAATGTACAAACACACTTCCACACACATGTCAGAATTATCCTTATAACACAACAATGGCTAAAAGACAATTTTTAAGGTCAAATGCAACCGCAACATGTTGCAACAAACAAGAATAGCGACGAATGAACAAAACTAACAACAACATCACATAACTAAGATAGTATGAGAGGCTCATTCAATTGAAAAGATATGGTTATGCATACACATTCATATTCGTACATAAATGCATTATGGACCAGGAACTATAGCAACAGCAGTTCTGGTATTAACAACAACAACAACAAGAATAATAAACATTAAGTGGCTATATCTCTTTAAATGCGACGACCATAAAAGAGTTTTATGTCAATCGTTTTACCTAGGCAGAGTAGAGTGATATTGTGTATTTGAGCTTATGTTTGTAACGTGACAAAGTAATATCTTTAGTATAAATTGTGGATTATAGTGTCGACCATAGCTGGCTTACTATAAACTAGACTATACCAGTATAGATTATAATCCCGACTATAGTTAAGTCAATAGACCATTGTCCAAACTATTGTCTGTACAATAGTCCAATCTATAGTCTGGCCAATAATCTGGTCTATAGTGCCTAGTGTAGATATGAGTAGAGTGCATAGTCAGCAATATAACAT